GTACTCTAAACTGTATAAATAATGTAAAATTAAATTGAATTTATTAGCCAATCAGACGAACTTCTGCCTATGTGCCTATACTTGTTTATTATAAATTCCCTGAACACTAATTATAACCCTAAAAAATGCTAAAGAAATGCACCTCAAAAATTTGTATTTTTCGATGGCTTATCTATTTGACTATCACTCTGATTTCGTCACAATAATTGATGCAAATTTTAGGTTTATATGTAGAGCTAAAAAGAATCTTCTAATTGCCTGACTGACACAATTCAAACGTAACAATTATTTTATCAAATTTAGGGTACAATTTTAGACTAAAGTTAGGGTCAGATTTTTCGTAGTATATAGTATTCCTGGCGATATCGCCACCGGAGGTAAATGGCAATATTCTTTTGTAAATGTCGATTTCCCCCCTTTTTGCAGTACACAGCCCATATAAAAGTAATATCTTGTTCCCCTCTAAATTGGCATTTCTTAATATAAAAAATGTATATTTGATATCGTCTTATCAAATTTTGATGCAATGGATATCTTATGCTGTCCCGTATGGTAGTTTGTTTTAAAATAGATTTTCTTATAAAGAAACTTTCTAAATAATAGGTGACTATAGTTGTAATTATTATTATGTAAATCTATTTAATAATCAGATAAATAATTGAAGTTTACAGGATTAAATAATTATATAAATGCAATATTATATCGTTTCAAAGTTTAGTAATTTGATGTTATAAATTTTCAAAATGTTTCGAAATTAAATTACGTTGAAGATAAATGCTCTTTTAATTGTTCTTCCCAGTTCTCAGGCTCTTCTACATCACCATCTGAACCCACTAAAGCAGCAGCACTATCAAAATCTTCAATCCAAGCATCTATTAAACAATATATATATAATACGTATATATTAACATTCCAATGTATAAATGTTTCTAAGAAAGGTAGTCAAACGAAGAAAATGAAATCAATACCTTCTCCCTTTGTGGCATCAAATAACACCTCTTTATTAGATGGATCATGATTTTCTTTATCCTAATAAATTTTCCATAAAATATTTATAGGTACTAAATTATTGTTTAAACTCAAAGAATATTCATTCAAACCTCATTTCCATTGGGCATAGATTCCGAAATTTCAGTAGAATTTTTAGAAAAAACCTCGTTTTCTAAAACAACACCATCAATTGAGCCCAATGCAGTCTGTTTAATAAGAGATACACGATAAAAATAATTTCTCCAAAATATTGGTTCAGACACACTTTTTTTAACCAAAATAAATAAATAAATAAATAAAAATAATAATGTATAAATAATAAATAAATAAAAGATAATCAAGCGAAAAAGCAATTAGAAAAAATTAAAAATGGAATTACATCCTAGGAACCAGCTCAAATCGCATTCGTTTTAAGTGAGAATCAGCTTTAAGAGTTGCCATAGCTGTCTGAAAATATATATTTATGTCAAATTGAAAGTTTGTATTTTCTGGTGGAGGAATAGTAAAATTACGTTTATCCTGTTCATGAAGAAATAGAAATAAGAATTATATATACGGCAATAATACAATTATAAAAAATAAAATACCAGAGATAATGCCAATATACGGTCTTTAAGTTCATCTTCATTTGGAAGTCCAATCCATGGTGGAACTGCCTCTAATAAAGTGAGAAAAGTTCTATAAACATTAAAAGATTGAAAAACTTTAACAATTATATATCATACCAGTTCCCGTCTTTGGCTCAAGTGTTTCTTCCTTAATTTGTTTAATAAATTCTTGATGCTGTTGTTGCATATCTTTTGTAGTTTCTTCTACTTTTTGTTGAATTGATTTCGTTAAAGACGCGACGCTTGTAAAAGCACTTGTAGCGAACGCTGAAAAAAATCGAGAAATCAATCAAAAGTATAACTAAAAAATGACTTAGGATTACTTACAAGAAAATATTTGAGTATTAAGATTTGTAGGAACTTGAATATGTTTCACGACCTCTGGAACATTGTTCATCACGACAGTAGGGACGTTCTTAACAACATTTGGGACATTTTTCACAACACTAGGAAGCTCAATATTTTTCACGGCATCGGGTAACTCTATGTTTTTAACCGAAGCAGGAAGCTCGATATTTTTAACAACTGCTGGAAGTTCCATATTTGTTCGCAGCCAAGGACTCTGCAGTGGTTAAGATTAAATTGAAATTTTTTTTATTCAGTGTATCAGTAACATACCCAAATAGGCAGAAATTCGTTTGATTGGCTGATTTTATGCAAATCATTTTTTAATACTTGTAATTTGATTGGTGGATCACGTTATATTAGTCTCTAAGAATAATTTAATTTGTGTTGGCCAATTTTATTGGTCTAGCAGCAAAAAATTGGCTTAGTTAGACTATCACTATATATTATATATTTTTTTTATAATGTTAATAGTTTTTACATTACATTTGTGTTATTATATTACTTTTTTTTTTTCTCTTTTTTTTCGGTATTAAGGTGACCTCTTTGGTCCGAGCTTTTTATTAATACTTATATCGGGTACATGTTTTATATAG